AAATTGAAAAATAAATTTAAGATATTACTTTACAAGATTTCTAGTCTAAAAAAATGACAGTATTACCCATATATTTTGTCAGATTTAAGTTTAAGTAATAATAACTCTAAAATAATTATTTTTATTTTCTGTAGGCCAGTAATATATTTAAAAGTGATGATAGATGGGTTAGAAATGTTTGTTAAAGTGAGGGGAGGCTAATTCTCCATGACTCAGTTTGCTTCTTTCCCATAGTAAGTAAGTTAATGGCACTGATGAATCAGTACCCAGGATGGGCAGAGAGCATGCATTTTCTTAGTATCTGCAGAAATGTATGTCTAAAGTGCAAGGAAGCTTGGAAGCTTGGCTTACGGCAGCAATCTATAATACACAGCTGTGTGTACAGCTTTTTGTCTCCCAGTATTTTTGACATTTATTAACAATAAAATCTGGGTGAAATGAACGTAGCAATTTATTGATTCTTAAAAGCTGGGAAGGCACATTTAATAGCTTGAAACCTTCCATTAGATCAAAACACACAGACATTTCAGCAGTAACATTTTCTTACTATCAAACTTTAACAAACTAAAACCATTCTTTATATAATTGTTCCTACCAACTAAGTGTGTGTGCTAGTTCAGAACTATCCCAGAAACACAAAAAGAAGTATCAAATTTTCACTGGTATTTACTTCAATAGACACCTGAACAAACAAACCATAAACAGAAAGTGATATTTTAGAGATACTGAGTCACAAATGCTGAGAAACTGATTGGTAGGACAAAAATAGAAGCAAATTTCAATTCTATTTTACTGTATATTATCATAATACTGAAATAATTTGGCTTATTTTATATGGCTAGATAGATAAAACTTGCTAGAAAAACCAAATGCATGCATATAAAGAAAAGTGAAAATGTAGAAAGGTATGCAGTGAGCAATTTCATTTAAAAGCAGAGTGGCATGAGATAAGATAATGAAGTGATGAATTGTTTAAAATCTTAGCCATACAGGCAGAAAAAGTATATAATAGTAGACTAAGTTAGGGTAATGGTAAAAGAATTTTAACTTTGTAACGGAGGAATGAAAAGTTTCTGCAATACTGCATCTCAACTCTTATGACTGTCAACAGAACCAGCCTGGTTGGTCACTGAGGTTCTGTTATGACTCCCTGCTATTTTGGGCTCAGTGAAGACTTGCCATGAATAATGTAGCTATTGTTAAGGTAGTCATCATTTGGGGAGAATATTTTATTTAATTCCTGTGAACTTGATGTTGCACTAGAGAAATAAGACTGATTATAATTTTCATCCTGTCTATATATTAACAATTTCCATTTGGTTGGATTTTTAAAATTTTCCATATGGCTTAGCTATTAAGAATATAGAATTGTTTTCTTCTTCAGTAAAGTTAACCTAATACATCATCTGGGTACCATTCAAGGAAAAGTTGGGGCAACAACTGCATGCAGTTCTTCAGTAAACATTGGAGATAAATTGTCCTTGGCTTACTAAGTCTACTGTTAATACAATAGTGAGAATGGATTTATTTTACATCTATATACCTGACACTGAATTGGATATTTCCATTTATGATATATGTCAATTATTTATGAAAAATACAGAATTACTGAGTTACTACTTTTTTAAAGTCTCAGACCCTTGTTCTGCCCTTGCACATACTGTGATTATCTGTCCCGTCATGTGAGCCTCATCTCATAGCTCTTCTTTTAGATTGTATAAAACTTACATGTATGCATAAATTCTTTTCTGTATTAAACTGTAATCATCTTGTGTGCCATTCACCTGTGTGCCTTTGCACTCAGAAGATAAGTAATACTTATTTTTTTTTCCTGAAGAAATGAATTGCTCTCTTTGAGTTATCTAGATCTGAAGACAGCAACAGAACAAAATATTTCACACCCATTAAACCTATGGATGGTGCTTTCTAAATACATATCATGATAGCAATAGTAGTAGGCAAGAAATTTCAACATTTTATAAAGACTATAAAGGTAAGAAACTAACTGGGTACCAGTGGCTCACACCTGTAATCCTAGCTGCTCAGGAGGCAGAGATCAGGAGGATCGTGGTTCAAAGCCATTCTGGGCAAACAGTTCGTGAGACACTAGCTGTAACAAAACTCATCACAAAAAAAGGGCTGGTGAATTGTCTCAAGGGGTAGGCTGTGAGTTCACACCCCAGTACCTCAAAAAAAAAAAAAGGAAACTATTGTGCTTATAGTGATTAATTAGTGTAACTATGGCTACTAATTTGACACATTAATTTTTCCATTGTTGAGTTTTTAATGAAAAGTTATACTGTATAGTGCTTATGTTTCATAGTATAATGTTTTGTCTTACAGGTGTTTGTATGCTGACTTTTGTTAGCCCTTTCATTGGAGGTAAATTTTAGACTTGGAGTTTTAAATAGTCCTAATGCTAAAATTTTCAAGGGTGTTATTAAGAGACGAGCAAAAACTTCCAGTGTACATAACACAAAATATCAGTACCATTAACAACTACCTGTGATGCTATTTAAATTATCCACTTTCTCTGACCCCCAAATAGTAAAGTCTAGCCATGAGGATAGCATCTAGAGGATGATTTCACAGGAAAGCGCACAGACCGCCATCATGTTAAGAATCAGTAGAACCTAGGCAACTGTAGTACACTCAGACATGAATCTCAGTTCATGAAAAACCCTTCCCTGCTAAAGCTATATTAAATTATCACAGCTAATGTAAAATCAACTTTGGTATAAAAGATAAAAGGGTAAAGTTCTCACAAATGATCGCTTATCACTCCATTCTGAAATGCATACAGCATTCATTATAGATCGAAATGCTACTCAAATTTCATCATTTAGTAGGGTTTTGAAACAGCCAAACCATTAACAGAAGAGACTAGCTTTTATATTTATACAACCAGTGACTAATGAAACATTATACTCAATGTGCAAAGGGAAAAAAACTTTATTTTGTAATGAACTCAATTGGAGCCCTTTTTAAACACAGTGTAATATGGTTTCACTGTTTCATTGAACCTCTCATTACTTGTGTCAATAATACTAGGTAAACTACTGTTGAACTTCACAGCATTTATCTAGCAGCATGAATAGCATTAATCTATGGGGTGCTTTTGATGAATTGGAGTTCAAAAAGCAAAGCCAAAAATGACTTCTTACAAAGTGCTTAGAGAACTATTTATTAGAAATATGTCAACTGCCAACTACCTAAAGGCAGCCTGGCTATTTAGAAACCATGCTGTTGGCTAGCTTACAAACACTGTCAAAGCATACGAATTTTCCCCACTTGAATTGCTTTAAAGAAACAAGTGACATACTTTTCATCTGAGTATATTATTTCTTCTGTCACTTCTCTTCTAATTCTCTATATTTTAATGCTTCTTGCTTTCAACACAATGTGACATAGCATACAACATGCACTTGGGTTCTCAAAGACTCTTAGGTGAAAGAAACAGAGACTCTAGGATGAATCAGTAGAACATACTTAACTTAGGTAACTGTATGATCTCAACATCTAGGTACGCTTGACTCTTACTTCAGATATCTAATTTATTACCTCAACATATGTAGTGGTTGTTCTGTTTCTCTGGTAGTAAGAAGCTATCATTTGTGTCTAAAGGAGTTTGAAACATTTGTTTCTGATTTATCAGGATTTGATTAGGTTAATCTTTCCTAAGGTTGAATTTTTTACACTTTATGAGATACTAAAATTAAATTATTATTTTTACTGTTTTCAAGATTTAAACATGGGGAGTCTATTCATTGTCTGTACTCACTCAATATAACAAGATGGTATTAAGAAATAAGAGATTGTATGCATTAAAGACTTGAAAACAAGAAAACTATATATTAATTGAATGTATTATTTTTCTCCAAATTTTGCCTGCATCTTAACAAAATAAGTACACAGAAAATAACATGAACAATATTAATGTTTCTGAAAATTAAATCACCTCACGAAGAATTAGACTTACTCCCAAATTTTTTATGAACATATGGAACCAACTATTGCTTTTTACTATATTTCTTATTTCTCTTCATGGAATAAATATCAAATAAACATACTCTGTCCATGATTCCTAAGATTCACTGGATTCATCATGGTGTTTTGTTTTACTCAATATTTGTTCATAATTTTGTAATGTTACATAGAATAAAATAGTACTTTTTAAAGTTTCTCTTGGTGAGCTATATGGGAGAAATGTTACATTCTCCAACTATTCCTTCTCTTGGAGATTCACAGTGTACTTTGCCATACAAAATAAATCTTAGAAGCACTGCAAAAAAAGAAAATTGCTTAATTTTATTTATTACAGTATTTACCAATATCAGAAAATGTTAGCTTCATCTAACAAGATGGTAAAGTTTCCTTGAACCATTTTAATGCATCATGGCTCTCAGAGGTTGAGAAAAACAGTGTGTCCCTTTACTCTTGGGTATGGGTATTTCTTACTGCCATTTTGTTATATTTCTACAAGTTCTGAGATAAGTGTAATCAAGAGAAAAGAAGTGTGTAGAGATTTCAAATTGCCATTCATAAGAAATTAATCATACATATTACACACTTCTATATTTGCTGTATCTCAACAATGTACTATGACTTTTTATGTTGACAGTTACAGTGATTATAAAGTGTGTTTTTATAGTTGAAATTAGCTAAAGGGAAATAATTTTCATGATTTTGGATTGCTGGATAACTAAAAGCATTTATCTATAAAATTTGAACATAACATAATTTACTAGTCATCACTAAAGTAAAACACTTGTAATGAAAATTTTTACAAAATAATTTTATCTATAGTGTTGCTATAATTTTATAATCTGTCTTGTATCATATTAAGTGTATACCTTGGAGATATTTATGCTTATGAGAAATTCCTCTGAAAGAAAAGAAAACCTGCTTAATTTTCTTTATTATTCTGAAGATTTTGGCACATTTACAGTTTTTCAAGTTATTGATCCTTACATATATAATATTTTCCAAAAGGTACTTACCATGTACAATGAGAACATATTCTGCACTGCTTTGGCCAATGGTGTTTGTGGCTTCACAACGATAGGTACCATTATCAGTCTTGTTCAGGAAAAGAATGTTGAGTTCCCTCCCACTCACAACCATTCGGTCAGGATCTGGTAATTCTGCACCATCCTTTGTCCACAAAACAGGTTCTGGCCTAGGGGAGTCAAACATGCATATAGGTAGGAAACATAGGAAATGTTGGTTATTCTGTAAACTAAGTAAATCAAACAATTTACAAATGTTTCACAGCTGCTTTTTGGCCTAACCATGTGCTAACAATACAAGGTACTAAAAAAGTAGCAAACATTCACTCAAAAGACTTGGAGGTAGGTCAAAATACAATTTAATTTTCTGTACATAACTAAGCAGATAAATGTTAAGGAACTAATTCACTGAGTTAGTGTAGCTGTCACTGCTGGTACTCTTTTCAAGTCCTGAGTCCTACTCTTGTTACTAGTGGCTCACTTCTCATATTGGAGGACTTAACGTGAGCTATTGAAGCAAATCTTCCCCAGAAGTACCTGGAAATGTATCTTTGAAAATGAGGCCACTACTATGACACAGCTTTACCTGAAGCCACCTGAAGCTTCTTCTGCTTATATCTTCAACTTTTTCCATTCTCTAAAGGATTTTCCTGAATGTTTCCTTTAATAAAATCCAGATGCCCAATAACTGATGAGTGGATTTAAAATGTGGTATACATACAACCATAAAGAGAAATGAAATTATATAATTTTCAGGAAAATAGTGAAACTGGAGATTATCATGTAGAGAAAGATAAACCAAGCTGAAAAACCAAATGTTGCATGTTTTTGCTCACAGATTTAAAGTGATCATAGTAACATTAATAATAGGACATGCATGTAAAAGAAGGACTGACTCTTTTTTGGGGGAGGAGACTCAGTGAAATGTGGGAGGGAGAAAGGAGAGGGCACAGGGATGTGAACATAGTATAAATACATTATATACATTTGAAAATAGTATAATGAAACCCACTAAATACTGTGAAAAATTGGGGTGAAGGTTTGGGTGCCCATGGCTAATGTATTTATTCCTAGCTTCTTGGGAGTCTAAGATCATGAAGATTATGGTTCAAGGCCAACTCCTAAGAAATAATCCACAGCACTCCAACTCCTAAATAAGCAAAATGGATCAGAGGCATGGATCAAGTGGTAGAATACCTGCTTTGCAAGTGCAAAACCCTGAATTCAAACCCCAGTCCCACCAACAAAAAGGGGAGGGGGAAGAGAAAAGGGGACTATAGTAGAGGGAGTGAATTTGACAAACTACGCTGTACCCCTCTATAGAAATATCAAAATGAAACCTTTTTTGTACAGTTAATGTGTGCTGATAAAAATTAAATCCGTCATGCACTACATAACAATTTGGTTAACGACAGACAACATATGCAGGAGTGATTCCATAAGATTATGTCATCTAGTGATGTAGTCATCCTAGTATGCTTACAATCACTGTGATGTTCTTATAACAGGGAAATCTCTTGAAGGTGATATGTCACATTCTATCTCAATTGTTAAGCAATGCAATGTTGAACTTGCAAAGGATCGTCATCTCAAAATCTCAAAATAAGAAGGAAGTACAAATGAACCATAGGTTTTTGTCTTCATAGATTTAACTCTTTTAAACATTATTAATGAGAGAAATAGTTAGTACTAATACCTATCACCAGGTGCTCATGATAGTTATTGAAGATACTTTCCACATTTTTCTGAAATTCTCAAGTGAAAATTTCAATGAATGTTATTTTTTAATTACAGGTACCACATATAAGAATGTAGATGATCTCAGAAGTGCTTAAACCCTGTCTGACCAAAAATTGATGATTGTTTTCTATCATGACAAATACTTTCCATGTCTTTCTATGTAAAAGTTTTTTACATAAAAAATTTTTTTGTATGATTTTGTAACACAGTTAAGCTGTAATTGTTTAATGTCATAAAATTTCAGTTATGTTCTATTAATGTGAATACAATTACAATTCAATTTGTGATAATTTTATCTACAACTATGATATACATTCTATGAGGAAGAATATATATTTTATTGACAAAATTGTGTCATATATATATATATATATATATATAATGTTCTTTCTGGCAAAAGGTCTTGGCATTGTGCTCCTGAAACCCTTTCATTTTAATTTTTTTATTAATTTATTCACATATGCATACACTGTATCAGTCATTTATCCTCTCTTCCCTGCGCCCCCACCCTCTCCTTTCCACCCTCCCTCACTTCCAAGCAGAACCTGTTCTGCCCTTATCTCTAATTTTGTTGAAGAGAAGACATAAGCATAGTAAGAAACACAAAGTGTTTTTGATAGTTAAGGGTAGCTATTCAGAGAGATCCCTAGCATTGCTTCCATGTACAAAAGTGTTACAACCCAAGTAGATTCATTTCTAACTGATCTTTACACTGGTTCCTGATCCCTGTCTCATGTTGACCTCTGTTGTTTTAAGGTTTCTGTATTAGTTCCTCTGGAGTGGGGACATCAAATGCTTTCATGTTTTGGGTTTTCTACCTATTCTCATACATCCTGCATGTGCTCTCCCTTTGTCATGGGACCCAAGTCCAACAACATTGCTGTGTTTGCCCTGGATCTAAAGTCCACATATGAGAGAGAACATAGATTTTTGGTCTTCTGAAGCTGGCTAACTTCAATCAGAATGATGTTCTCCAGTTCCATCCATTTACTTGAGAATGATAAGATTTCATTCTTCTTCATGGCTGAGTAAAATTCCATTGTGTATAAATACCACATTTTCTTAATCCATTCACCAGTATTGGGACATCTTGGCTATTTCCATAACTTGGTTATTGTGAATAGCATTGCAATAAACATGGGTGTGCAAGTGCCTCTGGAGTAACCTGTGTTACATTCTTTTGGCTATATCCCCAGGAGTAGGATTGATGGATAATATGGAAGATCTGTGTTTAGATTTTTAAGAAGCCTCCAAATTTTTTTCCAGAATGATTGCACTAGATTGCATTCCCACCAGCAGTGTACAAGAGTTCTTTGTTCTCCACATCTTCGCCAACACCTGTTGGTGGTGGTGCTTTTGATGATGGCTATACTAACGGGTGAGGTGGAATCTTAGTGTGGTTTTGATTTACATTTCCTTTATTGCTAGAGATGGTGAATATTTTCTCATGTGTTTTTTGGCTATTTGTATTTCTTCTTTTGAGAAAGTTCTGCTTAGTTCAGTTGCCCATTTCTTTATTGTTCATTGATTTTGGGAGTGTTTAGTTTCTTAAGTTAGCTGTATATTCTGGTTATTAGTCCTTTGTCTGATGCCTTGGCTATTTGTGGTCTCTTGTGTTTCCAAATGAACTTTAGGGTAGATTTTTCAATCTCTGTGATGAAAGTTATTGGGCTTGATGGGAATTGCATTAAACATGTAGATTGCTTTTGGTAGTGTAGCCATTTTTACTGTGTTGATTCTACCATTCCATGAGCATGGGACATCTTTCCATCTTCTGTAGTCTTCTTCGCTCTCTTTCTTCAGAGGTTTGCAATTCTCCTTGTAGGGGTCATTCACATCCTTTGTTAAGTTTACTCCTAGATATTTGATCTTTTTGAGGCTATTTTAAAAGGAATTGTTTCCATATATTCCTTCTCCGTCTGTTTGTTGTTGGTGTATAGAAAAGCTAATGATTTTTGTATGTTGATTTTGTATCCTGTCAACTTGCAATAGCTGCTTATGGTTTCTAGAAGTTTTGGGGTAGAGTTTATTGGGTCTTTAAGGTATAGCATTATATATATCATCTGCACATAGGGATATTTTGACCATTTCTTTACTTATTTGTATTCCTTTTATTTCTACTTCTTGTGTAATTGCTCTGGCTAGAAATTCCAGTACTATGTTGAATAGGAGTGGGGATAATGGGCACCCTTGTCTTGTTCCTGATTTTAGGGGAAATGGTTTCAGTTTTCACCATTAAGTATTAAGTTGACTGTAAGTTTGTCATATATAGCCTTTATAATGTTGAGGTACATTCCTTGTGTTCCTAGTTTTCTTAGAGCTTTTATTATGAAGTAGTGTTGGATCTTGTTCTGCATCTATTGAGATCATCAAGTGGATTTTGTCTTTGATTCTATTAATATGCTGTACTACCTTTATAGATTTGTGTATGTTGAACCACCGCTGCATACCTGGGATAAAGACAACTCAGTCATGGTGGATGATTTTCTGATATGTTTGGATTTGGTTTGCCATTATTTTATTGATGATTTTTGCATCAATGTTCATTAAGGAAATTAGCCTTTAGTTCTCCTTTTTGGAAGTGTCTTTGTCTGGTTTTGGGTTGAAAGTAATACTGGGTTCATAATATGAGTTAGGCAGTGTTCCTTCCCTTTCTATTTCATGGAACAGTTTTAGGAGGATTGGTATTAGTTCTTCTTTAAGATTTGATAGAATTTGGCAGAGTATCAATCAGGTCCTGGATTTTCTTGTGTGGGAGACTCTTTATTGTTGTTTCAATTTAATTTTGTGTTATAGATCTATTCAGGTAATTAATATCCTCTTGGTTCAGATTTGGATGGTTGTAAGTATCTAGAAATCTGTCCATTTCTTCAAGATTTTCAAATTTATTAGAATATAGGATCTCAAAGCAGTCTGTGATGATTTCCTGGTTTTCCTTGGTGTTTGTTGTCATCTCCCCTTTTGCATTTCTGATTTTACTGATTTGGGTTTTTTCTCTCTTCTTCTTAGTCAGGTTTGCCAGGGGTCTGTCAATCTTATTTATTTTCTCAAAGAACCAGGTTTTCATTTCATTGATTCTTTGTACATTGTTTTTGTTGTTGTTGTTTCTATTTCATTCATTTCAGCCTTTATTTTTATTATTTCTCTCCTTCTGTTTTGGGATTTGCTTGTTCTTGTTTTTCTAGGAGTCTGAGATGTAGCATTAGGTCATTGATTTGAGATCTTTCTGACATTTTAATATATGCACTCATGGCTATAAATTTTCCTCTTAGGACTGCCTTTGCTCTGTCCCATAAGATCTCCTAGGTCATGTTTTCATTTTCATTATCTTCTAGGAACTTTGTTTTTATTCATTTATTCATATGTGAATACACTGTTTGGGCTGTTTCTCCCCCTACCCTCCAACCCCTCCCTCTTCTTGTGGTTTGAT